AAAAAAAGTCAATAAAAAAGTAAAATTCTTGGGTAAATACCTAGAAGTGAAATGACTGGAACATATGGTAGGTGTATGCTTAACTGTTTAAAAAACTGCCAAACAGTTTTCCAGAGTGGTTGTACCATTTTTACATTCCCAGTTTTAGAGATTTGAACCCTACTCATATATTGAGAAAGGTTGAAGTGCATGATAGTGTTTGTGGAAATCATCTTTTATTTTGATGTGTACATCTCTGAAATCATAAGGAGTAAGAAAGTAGAATTTACTTTTCATAGCCATCTGTCACAAAATATCTCTTTTGAAGTAATCATATTAAATAAATATCTTTATTATTACTGTTTATTTGATATTTTGTGAACAGTGACAGAGTTAGTTAAGAGCTTGTTTAATTAATGTTTGTGTCAAGGAAAAAAAACCCCAAAATCAATAATTAAGACTGCCTTTGAAATTTCTAACTTTAATCATTTGAAATTTCTAACTTAAATCATCTAAATTTTGCCTCCATTATTACTTGTTAGGAAAGAATTAAGAATGGGTTTGACTTTCATCAGTTTCTTATCTGGATTTTAAAGTGTCAGTACATAGGTAGATAGTTCTCACCCGATGAACTATAACATTTTATTTCAATTTACAAATAAATTATCCTGTATAGTGGAACTTGATAATGCACACATGGGCTTCAACCTCTTGAACTATTACGTGCACTCACTCCTAGTAAGCTTTGGCCATTGTATTATGCCTTTCTTAAGAATATTCATTCATTCATTCAATTAATATTTATTATTGCATACTGTCACATACCAGACGATGCCTGGACCGTCTTTGCATTTCTCAGGATGCAATGTATTGCACACGGGTGCCGGGCCATGAATACTTTTTAATTAACAGGTGAATGACTGTTATCTTACCATATATTCTATACCTTTCATTAGAAGAGGACGAAAATCCCACCTACAGACTAGAACCTATGAGCCTTTGCCATAACCACAGCTTAAGCGCCCCCCCCCCTTTTTAAGATTCTGTTGCTTAGGCAACAAGATTTCTCCATGCCTGCTTGCATTCTGTTGCCAAGGCAACAGGGTATCGTTGGCAGGTTGGTCTGAGACATCGAATGTTTGCGGTTTGGGAGATGCCTGTGGCTCACAACTTCTTTGATAAATCAGGGTATGCATAATCGTATTCAAGCATGTGAATTGACTCTAGTCTTTGAGTCTCATCAAAGACAACTGTGGACATTTGAGACCATCCAGCATTATATATGTGACTAGAAAGACCTTAGTGTAACCTCAGGGTCTCCTTTTAGCTGAAGTCTTGCTTATTTTGACTTGTGGGTATTCTCTACTCCCCCTTTTCATAATCCATATCCAGTTTTACTTAAATCAAAAAAATACTGTTTGATCACTACTTGCCAGAATCAACCTAGCCTATCAAGCTGTCTTACAGAAACAATGTATTATCAATAAGACCACTTTATTCCTTTTCTGTGCTAGTTCTAAACTTTTGTGGCTAATTGCTTGTTTGTTTCTAGCTATTCTTGGAGTAGGTGAGGAGAGCTCCAGGGGCACCGTTCTCTTTCCAGTAGTGACATCACTGCTGTTAACTTCACAGATAGGGGACAAGAGAACCCCGCATAATGCTGGTTTTTTTCCACACATTATGAGTGTTGCTACCTGAAAGAGACTTCTAAGCAGTAAAGTACTAGTTAGCTCAGATGGTGTGATTACAGTAGCCTCAGAAGGCATTATCTTAAATACTGTAAGTCACCCTTCTCATTTCAAAATGTTAAATATTTCTCCTTTTATCAACACCAGCTAGTACTAACTACTTTTCACAATTGAATTAAGTAATGTAATGCACCTCCCTTGGTTCAGAAGTATATTCAGAAGGATTTTACAAAATGAAAATTCTAGAACTCTATCTCCTTCATGGCTAAGACTCCTCTGACACAGTAATTATGCAAGTAATTTACCCTGTACTCGAAGACATTCAGTGAAAAGTGGATTTAAGAAATTTCAAAGCTAATATCTTCAATCTCCACTTTACCCGTTATTGCTTTGGGGTGGAAGTTGTGGGCTAATATTCTGATCCAGTGCTTCAGTTTCTGCTTTGGCTTATAAATTCTGGATGAAGTTACCCCAGATCTGAAGAGAGTTGGAAGGGATGACCTTTCTGAATCCTTTGAAACCTTCCGTTTCTCTGAAATTCTGTTTCATCAACCTGAAGTCCTATTAGTCAATTCCCATTTCAAAAGTTTCAGAGGACACAAGCTTCATTATATTAAGCCTTTTCACCAGAAAAGAACATTTCTGGAATGTTCTCTTTGTGTTAAATCACTTTTGTCTGTTTTCCAACTTACACTATCAAAGGAAACCATCCTCTGCAGCCATAATGTTCTATTGGACATAAACATTCAATCCGGTTCAGTCTAGAGGCAAACTTCCCTCAGGTTCTGCATAATTTCAATCTTTCACCCATCTGTGGACCTAACAATCGTATAGTTAAATGTTGTCACTTCTGGCTACAATGAGTCTGTTCTATTTGGAAATTTCAGATGACTAATATTTCTTGTGATCCATGATATAATTTCCAGAGAAATTAACAGTTTTCCTACCATACTCCTGCAAGCTTGTGAGTTTCAAGATGAGGGACTATTTCTTTTCACCATCCCTTCTGTATTGCCTGGCACAGTTTCTACACATAGTGGGCCCTTAATAAATATTGTTTTAATGAATGTGTGGTGGTTATTTTAAAGATCCCCTAAAGTTCATTAAGGAGGAGTTTAGCATTATATTAAGGAGTAACAAAGTTTAGCGTTATATTAAGGACTAACAGCAACTTGCCAATGTCAGGATAGTCTGTTTCACATATATCACTGGCCCATTTTTTAATACGTACAAATGTTTGGAGCTTTGGATTCTTCAGGAAAACTGGAATAGTCATCTACTTAGCTTGGCATGTGAGTGGTTATCAGCTATCAAAAGTACCCATAACCTTAGGAATAAAAGATCTCCACAAGTTACATTTTATTTACCATTTAAGATTGTCTAAGAGGTATTGCTGGCTTAGCAGCTACAGGCCATGAGTATTAGCCTCAGGCATAATGTTTATGAAGACAATGACAAGACCTTCCAAAGAAGAGTCTGGCATGCACTGTTGAATATGGAGGCCGCTGGCCACATGTGGATCTTGAGCAGTTGAAATGTAGGTAGTGTGACTGAGGAACGAAATTTTTAATTTCATTTTAATATTCACTTAAATATAAAACAACGTCTGATATCTCATTAGTTTTTTATAGTTAGTGCCTGCTAAAATAGTGTTTTAGATAAATTTGGTTAAATAGGATATATTCTTAAAATTAACATCACCCTTTTATTTCTACTTTTTGAAAATGTGGCTACCAGAAAATTTAAACTTTTATTTGTGATTCGCATGGCATTTCTGTTGGACAGTGGTAGACGTGTCTAGAAGGCTACGGCATAGGGTTACTCATGCATGCTGTGATATACCATGTGTCCAAAGATATTCTGCTCCTCAGCTCAGCCCGGAAGCACCCTGCCCATATTTGGATACTACTGAGATTATGCCCCTCTTTGACCTTTCTGAGGGCAGGGCTTATCCATTTTCTTTCTTTAAACATACCCTTATCCCAGAACTAGGGAGAGTTATTAACTGTATAAGGCTGGCAAGTTTCTATTGACTTTTCACTGACTTGAGAACTTGCGCTGAGAAAGGGACAGAGAAAATAGTGGGATCAGGAGAGGGCTGGCTTGGTGGGGAGTTAGGAGGAGTGAAAAAGGAAAAAGGAAAAAGGAAAAAGGAAGGAACTTACAACCGGCTTTGGTATTATTCCTGTACTCTAGTTGGGCGGAGGGTAAATGAGAGCCAATTTTGTTTTGCTTCATAATTTAGGTGTGTGTTGCATTTACATATCAAGATTTCTGTGCTTAAAACGAAAATGTTGGGGTAAGAGATTTACTAGCCATGTTTATTTGTATTTAAATTCCTCCATTCCTACTCAGCAGATACCTATCATGTGCCTTGAATGTAGTAGATGTTCAATATGTTTTTGTTGGGCTTAAATTTTGCATTACATTTTGTTACATTAAATTTAGTATAGTCAGAGCACAGATGTTTCTTATTTCATTCCAAAATAACTATTAAGAAATTAGCTCTAGATATCAGCAGAAAAAACAAGGTCGAAGGTTATTTATGGCTGTCCCTGGTGGTCTCTAAGGCCACCTCCAGGGGGTGGAAGGCACTAGACAAAAATGCAAAATGATCAGGAAGTCTAGAATTTCAGGGCAAGGCAAACGAGTGATGTTAATAACACTGAAAACAAGGAAAAATGTAATTCTCTTAAATGTAAAAGTCATCTTATTTCATAGGAATAGTTAAAATTTCTTTTTTAAGACGACAGGAACAAAGCATAAAAAAATACCACATGTGAAATTTTAAACACTTGTATTTTTTACAGATTTAATTTATTTTAAAAAGAGAGAGAGCATGCCCAGAAGTGAGGCAGAAGGGCAGAGGGAGAGAAAGAATTTCCGGCAGACTCCCTGCTGAGCACGAAGCCTGACTTGGGGCTCAATCTCATAACCCAGAGTCACGAACTGAGCTAAAATCAAGAGTCAGATGCTTAACTGACTGAGCTATCCAAGTGCCCCTAAACACTTATTTTAATGTAACTTTATCATTTTGATTTTAAGTATAAGAAGATTATCCAAGACACTAAGATGTAGGTTCTTAGTTATTCTTAGAGCTTATAAATCACTGTGATGAGACAGGGTTCTTCGATGTGTCAGTAGAATGTGAGGTCTGCTATGGGTTTGAATGGGCTTGTTTTCCTCTTTATTAAGCTTCTGAGAGCATCTTGAAGGAAAATAATCTTTTTTTATTTTTGTATTATAAACCATAGTAAGGTATAGACTTTCAGTCAATGTTAGTCAAGTCCAAGTCGAGTAAATCCTTCTAACAGCCCCTAATTCTGTTTTCAGGGACTTCACTGGTGGATTAGGATCCAGACCAAGACCAGGTAATTTCGTGTTAGCAGTAAAAAATTTGTGCATGCCTCCCTGATATTCAGTGTGATTTATGTTTCATATCTTTCCCCCTTTTATTTCTTCAGCTGTGCTGCCTCTTGACCTGCTTCTGAAAGTACCACCCCTCATGCTCAGGGCCCACGTTAAGGAGATAGAGGCCGAGTTAGTGACAGGGTGGCAGTCCCATAGCCTTCCCGCTGTGATTCTTCGCAATCTCAAAGATCATGGTAGTACTTATTAGATCAAGTTGATGTCAAGCCCACAATGCGTGAATACAGAATTATAGTTGGGCCTGAAATGTCTGAATGATTCTTGGGAGGTAATTTTAATACAAATGGCAGGAGAATTTCATTTTGTTCGTCCACGATTATTAGTTTGGCAATTTGACAGTATCAAAGTGCTTTCTGTGTTCACTTATTTGATTGAAATAGTATAGGCTATTTTTCTAAAGTTTACATTTTTGTTTTGGTGGGGATGTTAACCAGTTCAATTATTTGTGCTTAAAATGTATACCTATGAACAAAAATAATAGTTGTTTTACATTCATATTTCTTTTCTTTTCTTTTCTTTTTTAGAGAGAGAAAGAGAGAAAAGGGGGTGGGGAGGAGCAGAGGGGGAGATGGAATCTTAAGCAGTCTCCACACCTGGCATAGGGCCCAATGCGGGGTTCAGTCTCATGACCCTGAAATCATGACGTGAGCCAAAATCAAGAGTTGGATGCTTAACCAACTGAGCCACCCAGGCACCCTACATTCACATTTCTATAAACTCTACACCTATATGATATGAGGGAGTGAAGTTTATCTTTATCTCCTTTATTCTGACATAGATAGTCTTTTTTGGTTACTTCTATTCATATTTGATTAAAACAATATTATATAACGTTGTTTTTCTAATAATTTAGAAATTACAGATTCTTAAAACATAAAAATAATGGTTTGGGGGAAAACAGAGTGTGTTAGTTGATGTTTCAAATTTCTATTAAAGAGGACCAAAGTTCAATAGTAATAGTTAAACTGTTAGCTAAACCTGGACAATTCAGGGAAAACGTATGGTGATTGTACTTTTAACATACGTATGAATATATGCCTCTTTAGTATAAGGTTCTACTTTACTGTTTTGGTTAATTTGGAATATTGCTCATTGCTGTTTTCATTTTGGCTTCCTTAATTCACATTCTTTTGTAGAGTTAACACCTATGGTGAACATAAGCGATGTGAATTGATTTACTGTAACATTAGTCCATGTCTTCACATTTATTAAATTTGCTTTGGAAGAGTTATTGACAGTCTGGGGCCATTTACACCATCAGCATAGATGCAAAAAAAGATGGTTTTGTTATTAAGATGTCCATAGCTATCATGCTGACCATGCTGTTTGGCATAAGGTAAGTTTATATATAACATAATCATGAAGCTAAAATGGTTGATTGATTTTATAATAACAAAGCAGAAAAATGTATTTATGTAAGCAATTCACAGTTCTGCTGTGACTCATAATAGGAATTCCTTTTCTGAAAGGGCATGTTGAATTGTCCCAGTTTAAGACTTATTTTATATCCATGAAATTGGTCAGATCTCTTGACCTTAAACAAACTGCATTATAGCACAGTTTACATGTAATATATTGTATTTCTTAGAGTGTGTTAGACCATTGTAAAGTATACTGACAGATATTGTAGCATATACTATAGTGTTGTCAGTGAATGCTAAAGTTCACCCACACAGAACTCTGTTTCTGCTAATATTATAGACACATTAGTGCATATGAAACCATTTGGGTTGGTATCTATGGGTTATTCTAATTTTAAGTAAAAGAACTCTTGATTTTTCTCCATCTTAATGCAAAATTACTTTTCTGCTTAATATAGAAGTCATACTTTTTAAAGTGTTGTGGCTAAGTTTTAATTATTGTTGTTTTACCAAATCACCAACAACTGGTACCTGCCCTATCCACTTAACTTACCACGTCTGCAAATGATGCTCCATTCCAGTTGTTACCTCCATTGTCTCTAGCCTAAGAAAATGAAAAGGTGACATTAATAGAACCCTCCAACAATAGGGAAGCAAGTTTGGACCAAGGTGTCATGAGACACTATTGGTTTGGGCAGTTGTAAGTTATATCTTGAATATTAGTTACTCAAAATAGATAAAGCACTGAAATGTGTGGATGATTAGCTTTTTTTTTTTTTTTTTTTTTACAAGCAGTCTATATTAATGTATTTTCATTTATTTAACATTTGATTTAGCCTTTTTGGGTAGATAAGAACATGCTTGGATGAAAGGAACATTGTGTATAACCAACAGCCCCAGCCTTGTATTGTCTAAATGTTCGAGAAAAAATTGTCAGGGAGGGAAGAATTTTGTCAAAACCTGGGTGTGCTCCCAGGACCATATCTAGAATGTAAACATCATTTTCCATATGCTCCGGCCGAACAAATGGTGAGAGCTGTGATTTTAGAGTACCAAGTGGCTCTATTATAATATAATTTTGTCTATCTGGTAGTCCTAAAGTGAACTTCTAGCTTCATATTGTGGTGATACAAGCTCCTGTAGAACGAATAACTATGGAACCATTTCGAGTTAGCACTATTAAAGTCTTCCTGTTCTGTCTTTAATACTAACTAAATTGGGTAAAGAATTTATTTTATACATATGATATATACATATACAGATACATGCAGTTCTTTGCCAACAGAAATGGAAACTTAAGAATTTCTATCTTGAATGGATGAAAATATTGACACTAATTAACATGGATTAAATGAACGAACAAACCTATTTTACATGTTAAGTATTTTAGTTGCATTTCCCTAACTTTAGTGACTGATGGATTACCTAAGTACACAAATTTGACCATATCAGAGTATCATCTGTACTATTCTTTTCCTAATATAGGTTTCTTAATTTGACTCACTTTCTCAACTTAAATTTAGTTAAAGGAGAGTTTATATTCTTGCTACAAATGGGAAACCAGTATAGAATGACTTACCAAGAATAGATGGCAATTATAAAAATAAATGAAGGATAAGCAAAAAAATTTATTAAATTCTAACTAGATATTGTTATCTGCTTATCCTGAGGTCTGTTTTTTTTTGTTATGAAGGAATATTAGTTACTGTTTGAGAAATGGTGATGATATACTTGTTTTATACTAACCTACTCCTTAATATAATCAATAGAAAAGAAAATTGGAAAAGTTTTATATCTATTCTAATTAACATGCAAGATTATGCTGTATTAAGTGCCCCCTGCTTTAGGAGACTCAGTTCTTTAAAAAATAATTGATTGGTTCTGTTGTGTGTCAGTCTAACAACTGGATATTTTGAATGGGGGGAAACATGTGGTGTGTTGTGTCTAAAAAAGAAACAGGTCTTTCCTCTTGAGGTAGGGGACATGGTGTCATATATTTGTGAAAACTAAATCATACCAAAACATTTTATGAGAATTTTATCCTTTGTCAAGTACATAGAGTACATTTTAATAATGTGGATGCCATTAGCATGGGTCAAATGTAAATTTTGGGAAGCGCCAATCAAGCCCAAGTTTCAAGTGCAAATGTAATGTCAACTAAGAATATGGCCTAATTTGACTAGATTAACACTGACATTTCCTCTCCCTTGCTGACTTTTCCATTTCACAGCAGTGAACAGCCAGGCACTGAGCTGATATATGGGAATTCTTATGCTCTGCATTTTGAATAGGAATTGTCACTTCATGATTTCTGGGCTCTTAATTATGCTTTCTTACTAGATGACTGAGAAGCTATTTTTATACTTGTCTTTTGTTCATAAAGGTCAGATATAAATAAAGTAGTCAGTGTTTCATCCAAGTATTCCAGAGAGCACAGCTTAATATTCCAGCCCTTGTCATTAGCAACCTTCAGTAGCTCACTTTCACATTAGTTATTGACATACAGTAATTAATGCTAAATTTTGCAATTGCCAAAGTGGTTTGGAGTACATGCCTTCTCTTGTTTTATTTCATGGCCATTCTTTTAGCATATAAAAAAGTGCTCCCCAGATTTTAATAGAATTTCTTATAATACTTGTCTATACCATGCAATTTGGCATATAATTATATACTTTTTTATATTGTTGTTGGGATTTTGATATATTGGTTAGATTTCCCAACCAAATTATAAGTTTAAATATATCTTGGGTACTTTCTCTGAGGTCAGGCCCCTGAAAACTACTTATTGAGTAACCGATGCATATTACCACAATATAAACTCTTGTTCATCCTTGCTACTGAGAGCAACTTGCGTAAGTCATCTTATGATGACTTCAAGAATGGGGAAAAATGATACTTTTTTTTTTTCTCAAAGATTTTATTTATTTATTTGACAGAGAGAGATCACAAGTAGACAGAGAGGCAGGCAGAGAGAGAGAGAGAGAGGGAAGCAGGCTCCCTGCTGAGCAGAGAGCCCGATGTGGGACTCAATCCCAGGACCCTGAGATCATGACCTGAGCCGAAGGCAGCGGCTTAACCCACTGAGCCACCCAGGCGCCCGAAAAATGATACTTTAATGTTAGATTTAAGATTGGGGAAGCGGTGGGAGGCAATAAATTTCTTTTACCAGTGGTGATTTCCTTCCTAATTCTTCCTGTCAAAGGAGATAGGTCCCAGGTGAATGCTGCCTGGAGATGTAGATTTTTTTCAAGTTCTTCTCTCCAAAGAGATACTCAGTCTCATGGATGTTATTGAGGATTCCAATCCAAGACCAAAATTTGCAAATTGCAGATCAGCTATTAAATGGTAGCCCACAACCCTGCCTTGGGGGTTTTTGCCCTGGGGGCAAGGCTAAGTGGAAGGAGGGGAAGAAAGCTACAACACCATTCAGTAGGAATAAAGGAGGTCAGTATGGCTTGGATAGATTGTAGCAATGTACAAAATAATTGAGTCAATGGAGAAAGACAGGGCTCTCAAATTCCAGACTATTATTACTAATGCTTTTTAATAGAACTTAAAAACAGTTTCAGAGTGTTTACAATGCCCTCTGAATTATTTTCATATGGTAGTTTGAATAATGAGTACAGTGACAGGTGAGTCAATATTAATAAGAAAGAGGCAAGAGACCTCTTTCTTCTAGCTAACCAACCACCTGCCCTCTCATATAGCTGAGACCTCACCATTCTTCTTAATTAATGAATTAATTAATTTGAGAGAGAGAGAGAGAATGAGTGTGCACACAGGTGTGGGGGCAGAGGGAGATAGACAATCCTGAA